CTATCCTCCCTTGTGTTTATCCATATGTTGTAGTTATCCTAATCATTATAGGATTAGGATAATCATCCCCTTTATTTGTAGCAATCCTTATCTCCTAAGGAATATGCTTTATTCTCTTGTATGTATATATATATGTGTAACCACGTGATTAATAATACAATGAGAGTTACAACCTTCTTCTTTATTCTTTAACACATTTGATATTTTCAATTATTTTTTGTGTCTATTTCGCACTAAAGTTTTAACAAATTGTAGGAGTTAGGACTATTAAAAAACAATAATCAGTACTATAGTAAAAGGGAAATACTAGCAAAGAAGAAGGTGTCCACGTGGATAAAAATATTCGACTAATAAAAACATTCTGTTTTACCACATCACAGGGCTGCTCCATTTGGGCTTCAAAAACACAGGCTTTTTGTTTATATTATTCCATTTAGTCCGTTTGGAATATACAGAAGCTGCGTTTTTTTTGCTAGGGTTGCAGAAGATTTATCCGTCGCCTCTCCATAGTTCTTCGCGATTACTATTTTCAACCGAGATGTTTCATCTTCTTCATCGCATCACCAAAGATTTCCAGTTACTGAAAGATCACATTAAGCCCCTACATTGATTTTAAATTCAACCTAGGGTTCCAATCAGATATCTGCAACAGAAAATGGCTTTGGCTTGTTGTATCAGATCCGGGATCTCCTTCTTCAAGACCATCACCATCTCAGATTCTGTCTCCTCTGCAAAATCTCTTCCGAGTGGACACCCGCTTATCCCTGCGGTAAATTATTTTCTTCAATAATCAAATCTCAAATCCAATCGACTTATTTTTTACTGTGGGAGTCGGTTTTTACGATATATGTCGATCCGATACGTTTCATTGACTAGCTTGATAGCACGAAAGGATGAAATTAATGTATATTCGCATTTACATTGTTAAGGCTTTCTATGGTTTTGAAGTTCCTAATTGTATATGTTATGGTCCAGAGAATATTATCAATTAATCTTTACTTTTGATTTTGTTTTCGTCGCAGTTAAGAGATTATAGAACAACTTCAGCTCAGAAAAATGTTAAGGTACACACACTTGCATATTCTCAATTTTTCCTAACTAAGGATGTTTGCATCTATCAGAGTCTTTCATATATGTGAGAATCGTGAAATGACTTGGATTGTTATTGGATCGATGGATAAGCTGGATTATATATTTGTTGTGGTTTTTAATACATTGTGTAATGTTGTTATCAGGTGTCTGTGGCATTAGTTGGTGAAAATGGGAACTTTGCTTCATGGCTGTACATTGCAGATGTGAAAATGAATTCCTTGGAAAGATTGAATCTGATCTTTCTGAGCTGGTTGAGGCAATAAAGACCAGCCCTACTTTCTCACAGTTTACAAAGGATCCCTTAGTTCCTAGAGAGACAAGATTGGCTGCTATTGTGGATGTTTGTGAGAAAGCAAAGTTTCCTGAACCCACCAAGAACTTCCTCTGTATGTCAAATTAAGTTTTTGAATGATTTTGTTATTTTGTTTGTTGTGAGTGACCAAACGTTATTTGGTTTTTCTTTTTTTCTAAATAGCTTTCTTAGCTGAGAATGGGAAGCTGAAAAACCTGGACGTGATTGTGAAAAAAGTTCATGCAGCTGAAAACAGCACATAGGGGAAACGTCAAAGTCTTGGTTACCACAGTCATGGTAAACTATAGGTTTAATACTGTTATCTTTTAAGAAACCATAACAAATAGTTCTCTGTTAAAAAAACAGACTTTTGGTAATTATTATTACAGATTTAACTACTGGGCACAAAAATTATTGGTTCTTGCTTACTTTTAATTTGTATGTTTTAATATGAATGAGTCTCATGCTCTGTATAAAGACAGACTTTTGGGGTAATTATATGTGAAGTTGCAACAATGGAGAAGGCACAAACCGCACTGGAGTTGTTGAGGTATAACAAGAACAAGTTTAATCTTGTGATCAGGGATGTTGACATGCCATGGTTTCAAGCTACTTGACCTTCTTAGTCTTGAAATGGACTTACCTGTCAGTAGTATGTTTCTATTTGATTCATTTCTTGTTTCCTAAAGGGACATCTTTCCTAAAGAGAATGCTTTGATCTTTTCTTTTTATAATATTTTGATTTTTTTAATTGTTTTTTGCAGTGTTATCTGCGCATAACCATCCAAAGTATCTTATGGAAGGAGTCAAGCACGGTGCCTGCGACTATCTCCTTAAACCAGTTAGAATTAAGGAGCCCAAGAAAATATGACAACATGTGGTGAGGAAAAGCATGTTTAAGAAGATGGAGAGCATTTTGACTAATGGTGAATCCTAAGGAAACTCTGATCAGAACAACGTGTAAGAAAATAGAAAACATAAAGATCAGCTTGAAGAGGAAGAAGAAATAGGAAATGAAAATGATGATACAACGGCTCAAAAGAAGCCTCGTGTTATTTGGAGTTTTGGATGCGAGAGGCAATACATGTTCCTAGCAGCTGTTAATCATGTGGGCATTGAGAGTGACGTGTCATGATCTCTCATATACTACACCAGGTCTTCAAGAATTCATAGCCGACTATAACACAGACGACCAAACTTTATCTGGTTTTCAAAACATTTATGAGTTCTCCGTTTTGTTGTACTACTTGATACATCCGATATATTGAGAGTGACGTGTCATGATCTCTCATATACTACACCAGGTCTTCAAGAATTCATAGCCGACTATAACACAGACGACCAAACTTTATCTGGTTTTCAAAACACTTATGAGTTCTCCGTTTGTTGTACTACTTGATACATCCGATATATGAGCTTTAACCTGTAACGACGACACTCAAGAATCCAATTAGATTATTGCAAACGCAATCACCCTCCTCTTTATTACATTTTTAAAGCAATCTAAGAGTCTAAACTAAAATTTAAAGACATCCCTCTCATGATCTTATAGGTCTACAAAATCCTAAGATAGATCAAAAACAAGTTTATCAACTTATCCCACTACCTTCTGCTGTATGAAGCGCATATGTTGCAAGATGTGCTACACATACACAAACGTAATCAATAATAAATAAAAACATACAACACAATAACCCAAAAAATATAAACTCATTCTTTCAACTATACAAACAGACATAATAATAATAAATTTTTTTATAACAAATGATTTAAGCAATAGATTTATCTCGCAGAGATATAAATTCAAGCCTCATATGTACAATAGGGAAACGGAGAATGAGTTATTTGATTAGATAGGAATTATATACTTTCATTACCTACAGCCAACACAAAATATTAATGGATTTACTTAGTTCTATTGGTTTTAGTTTTTAAGGAGAAAAAAAAATTCAGAAAACATTTATACGCGGTTTGGTTCATGTTAATTTCCAAATTATTGGTGATTACGCCACATTTAATTTATTTTGGTTAAATTACGTTTAATTCATTTTAAATTGTTAGAAGTAAATTATTAATTCATGTTAGTATGAAACTCAAGTAAAATTCTGCTAGAAATCTAATCCTTTATTAATTTATAATAATAAATATTTTCAAATAACATGAGCGAAAGTTCCAACAAATATTTTTTATTAAAAAAATTCAACAAATGCTAAATATTCTACAAATCATAATTAGTAAAATCTAATATAAACTGAAACAAACATATACTGTGTTATAAAACATCATTTGGTGTTACATAATAAACTAATTCTTATTTATGACATTATTGAAACTATTAATATATTAATTTAAAATATAACTTTTAACATCTTATTTCAGTTGATTTAGCTTGGAAGTGGATGTATTAATTTCTTACCGTTAGAAATTTAGTTATTGTAATAATATTAAAATCTGATACTCTTAGAAATATGAAAACAGCAGTCATTTCTACTTTATATTTTCTTCTAGTATATCTAATTGAAATAGAAATCAAATAGGAAAATATAAATCATTCATAATTTTAAATTAAAAAAATTTGTTCTCTAACAAAAAAATATTGTTAGTATTTTATTTTAACTAAAACTAAATAAATAATAATAAAACTTACAATTCGATATTAGGATAACAACATATTATATTTATTATTTTAATATAAAGTACTTTTAAATTTTTTTATAAAATTAATATATATTTCAATAATAATTTTACTGTAAAATCACCCGTCCGCAGGAGTGCCAACCCCTAGAAAAATGAATAAAACTCAACATTCTCATCCTTTGGACTGTAGTTATGGTAATCATTATCTAGATTTTAAAACTTAATACTATTTTAAAATAACAGAAAATAAGTTTCAAAAGGAAAAAGAATTCAAACCCCAAATAATAAAGAGAAAATCCAATAAAAGTACTTCACCTAAATGTTCTCACGGTTTTTATCACCCAAACTAATTTGATTCCGTTTTAATATCTCAACTAATTAGTTTTATCATTTTAATATATTTGCTCATTTTACTACCCAACCTATGATCATTTAAATTAATTATAAGAAAAGAAAATTATAAAAAACCTGGGAAAATAATATTAATCTGTAAATTTCAAATTTAATTTTAAGTTTAGGAACAAACTAGCTAAGTTTTTGATAAAGTAATAAAAATTAAAAATTATTAAAAAAACAATTTAAGCTTCTGAAAGAAAATAATATTTTTAATGTAAACTACAACTAATATTATAGGTTTAAATATTAATCACAGTTTAAATACTTCATTCCTATAACTTAAAATAAAAATAAAAATGTAAGATTATTTTTGATCAATTTTGAAGTTTCTAAAAAGTTTCATTTGAACTTATAAATAATTTGGGTATAAAGTTAGTACGGTTTAAAAACTAAGGATATTAAAATGAATAGATAATTAATATGGGTATGAAATTGGATAATAAGAAAAATTTAGGTATTAAGAACTCTATGATATTTAATTGATGGATTTCCAAGGACTTTTCTCAATATTAAATTAATAAAAGCACATTTAGTTTATTAAATTAAATATAAACTCAAACAATTCATTGGACATAATAATACAAAGACAGTTTAAAACAAAAACATTAAAATATATAATCTGCGCGTAGCGCAGAGAAAGAATCTAGTGTATTTAAAGCATAACAATCATACTGTTTGAATAGTTTAATATATATAAATTCTACTGGAGATCATCAATACTATTAAAAGAGAAGTACCAAATTTATCTACTATTTTGAAGTCAAGTTGGGCCATGTCATTAATTATTTAATTTGACATATTTAATTGTTACATTAATCAATCAAATATATATTATTTTCAAAATATCTTAATAATTAATAAGGATATTAATATTAAATAAATTTAAATATGACAAAATCTGTTGAAAAAATCTAACAAGATCTTACCAAAAAATTTAAATATTTTTTTTTATAAAATAAATATTTCTTTACTTTGTTATTAGATATAATTATAATTAGAACTAAAATATAAATCATATATTTAAATATTTATTATATATTTATAAAATGAAAAATATACCCGCACGGATGTGTAGGTGAAATTCTAGTTTTTTCTTAAAGGACAGCCTGTTTAGGAGCACACAAATTCATAAGTTTCGAGCTAATAGAATTTAATAAAAAAAATACATATTTACTAAAGTTGTATGATGATAGTGTTCAAATTTTATTGGAAGAGGAAAGAAAAGAGTCTTAATTTGAATTGAAACTCAAGTGACATGTTTTGTTATTTTTCTCTTATTTTCAGAGGTTTAAAGGTTTTACTAAAAATTAACAAAATACGATAAACTAAGTTTTGCTCGGGCCAGGGCTGGTATAGTACACTTGAAGGTTTTGCTGGTTTGATGGGGGCACAAAACGTTAGGGGCAGCCTTTCCCCTTTTCATACTGAGCTAGAAGCTTTAATTTGGGCGATGGAAAGTATGAGGAACTTACATCAATTTCATGTCACTTTTGCAACGGATTGTTCTCAATTGGTGAAGATAGTTTCGTAACCAGATGAATGGCCAGATTTTGCAACATATATGGAAGATATTACGAAGCTTAAAGAGAGTTTCCACAGCTCAGAAGTCATCTATGTACCAAGAAGACATAATACAAAGGTGGATAATCTAGCACGAAGTGCTAGGAAACAACCGTCTTTTGTTGTTTACATGGATGCAGTTCCACCAGTTTAGATCACAGAGTCAACATGAGTCTGTTATGTTGCTGAAAAAAAAAAGATAAACTAAGTTTTGTTTTTGTCACTGAGATTTTTCTAAACTTTTACATACAATATTACTTCTTCCATTTCACAATATCTTAAAACAAAAACATTAATATTAAGAAAGTTTATATTTTTAGAATATAGTATTTAATTAATAAATTTTACTAATATATAACATACATTATTTGATTGGTCACATTATATCCATGTAAAAGTTACCTTGATGGGAGAAAATTATCAATAGTTTGAAACGATGTAAAAAAAAAAAACCAATAGTTTGAAACAAAATATTTTTTAATATTATTTACAATAAGAACCAGAGGGAGTAGTATATAGTTTTAATGAAAATACATTATTTAATTTATTTTTGTTAATAAATGCAGAACTTAAGCAGAAACTATAGTTTGCAAAAGAAATGAATGATTATTAATGAAAGAGATCGAGCTATAAACCCGCATTTGTTATTTTGTATTTGTAACTTTAAAAATTATTATTTTCCAGTAAATGAACTACAAGATTTATTACTCTAAGTAATCCAGAACCAGATATTGTTGATGTTTAGTATTTTTAATTGGGTTTTAATTTAAATGTTAGTATTAAATAACTCTATTCAATAAAGTTAACAAAATATCAAATCAGACCATTGTAAACCATTTATACATTTTTCATATAAGATCGATGAGTTATGTCTACCACTCGTGGTGGCTCTCCTCCTGTTAGGAATCCTAGGAATCATTTCGATTTCTTCATGCGTACAACCGAGTTGGCGGCGACTGGGGCCACAATACGATTTCTTTATCTAATCTTCAGTTGTGATTCACTTTGTTCATTATTAGCTGAT